AGAGAGAGAGAGAGAGAGAGAGAGTTGCTGTCGTCATCATAGCAATCCCTCTTTCCAATGCAATCAGTCTCCTGACAACTATTCTGAACGCTCTTCATTTTGGATATCTGATCTGCAGCCAACCTTTGCAGACCCAAAGCCCGCTTCCGTCGTTTCTGGATGCTCCTTTGAAGCCCGTGATCGCGCACCACTTCTTTGAGGCTGAAGAGCAGTCTCGTCGCTCGTTTTGTCTCGGAGAGCCACCGTCGGTGTCTTTCCGTCATACGGTCGTTTTCCAACATAAGATTCTTCGTCGCTCGCTTTCTATAAGATTCCCCTCAGTTGCATTCGCTGCAACACCTTCAAGCTGGCTTACTCAACGGCAGACGGTATTCAGGTGAGAGGAGATCCTCGTTTCCAATCCATCAGCATGGTTGGACTCCCCGCCATCGATCCGCGCTCATCGCTGACCGTTCTTTGCAGCAGTTCGATCCCGATTTTCAAACCCCTCTGATCTTCGACGAGTCGGTCGATTTCTCCGACCCGGAAGAGTCTCGATTTGCAGGGGCATTTTCAGACGGCCTTTTGGCCAAGTCTGACCCTACCCTGTCTATGTCGGGCTTTCAGAAGACCCCGCAAAGTGGGCTAGGGGGTGAGTGGGAAATTCAACCCGGTCCAACTCCGTCGCCATATCTACATTGAACTCGTCGCTAACAGAGTTGACTAGATTTCAATGATCCTATGCGAGCACTCAATGGCGATGGGTACGCTTCCTACACGCAGCCGTCTTATGTGACGCAGGTGTTCCCACCCTTGGAGGATCAGCCGAGCCCCGACACCGATAGCCTGCAGTATATGCCAACCCAGAACTACGCGGGATCCATCTCGTTTGAAGAACAAGGGTCGCCTGGTCTGGAGCCCCCGTCTCACCCATCTCCGGAGGTCACCTCGTACGCTCCACAGAGAGGCTCGGAAGGAAATAAAGTCACCGTGCAGGTTCGCTCGCAATACGACCTGGACTCTGCACGCGCAGCTTTCCTGTCCTTTGGGTCGAAACAATGCGAATGCACAAGGAGCCTGGTGGGATATCAGGATTCAACTTTCAACTATGTGTTCTCCACCGAGGTGCCTGCCTTTGTCACGACCATGTCTCCATCCTTTGCTGTCCCCCTGCAGCTGGTGATTGATCTCCAGTCCGACAATGGTCCTGTCATTCTCCAGGTGGGTGTGTTCACCTATGACCAGTTGCCGCAGACGTCCTCCGACGACTGTCGGAAGAGGAGGGTGTCCTCTGCGTCCGAGAACATCGGGTCGAGACCAGTCAAAAGGCATTCGGCCCAGGAGATCGAGGTCAAAGGGGAGCGTGACTGCTATACCCTTCACGAGCGTTCGGCCTCGTATTCGCCGTTCCTCCCGACTCCAACGACGGTCAGCTCTTATCCTGCTCAGTGCAGCCAGGAGAGATCGCCTAGAGCGTCCTTCGATCTCTTCGCTGGTACGTCTAGCGGATCACAGACCTCGCTTCAGGCACCATCGACTTTACCGACTTCATGGAGTCCGTCGTTCTCCGCGGCGCATAGCCTCCCTTCCACTGCTGCGCCGCACCAGCAGACGCAAGCCGCCCCTGCCCGGCCTCCGAACCCTACCCTAATTCGGACATCCACCATGCAGCAGTCGAACCACCTGGGCCAGGTGCAGCCGTTCAACCCCTACGCGATGTATCCCACCAAGGCGGTCCTCAAACTGAATGGCGATCTTGATTCCATGAGCGAAAACTGGAGCCCGGAAGAAAAAGAGGCGAAACGGCGTCTTGTGCAATTTACCCGTGTCCAGGAGGGCAGCACCATCCATGCAGATTTCAAACCTGTGTCCCCTGAAGATCGAGCACCTAACAGTATTTGCATCAGCTGCATCTACTGGGAAAGCAAGGATGAGTGCTTTGTTACAAGCGTCGACACCATCTATCTTCTTGAGTCGCTCGTCGGGGTGCGCTTCACCGTGGAGGAAAAGAATCGGATTCGCCGGAACCTCGAGGGCTTCCGCCCTCTCACGGTGTCGAAGGCCAAGGCAGACAGCGAGGAGTTTTTCAAAGTCATCATGGGATTCCCTGCTCCCAAACCTCGCAATATTGAGAAGGACGTGAAGGTTTTCCCCTGGAAGATCTTGTCGCATGCGTTGAAGAAAATCATCGGCAAATATGTGAGTTTTTTTTTTAACTTTTCGTCTTTTTTTTTTCCCACCTTGTTGGTCAGAATTGCTAATGTAGGGCTTCCTCGTAGTCTGCAAGTTATTCTTCAACGGCTGGAGCGCTCCCGTCATCGCTCAACGGCAGCATTTCCAAGACCGGAGCGGGATCAGATGGGACTGAATCGCAGCGTGCTTTGTCTCCTCAGTCGCTGCCCGAATCCACCACGTCCAGCGCGTACACGGCTAACCTGACCTCCACTGCTTACTCACCGCCCGTTATGCAATCCAAGCCTACCCTAGGTAGCTGTGTCACTGGTCCCGAGCTGGCAGCCTCCATGGCCGGAGTCAGTCAGGTGTACGCCTCCATGCCGGCAACGTATTCATACGAACCTTCTTGCCAACTGAACCAGCCCATGCTGACAACCGGGCCATCGTGGGATTTCGGTACGCTGGCTAATACTCATCCTGGAACCGCTCTGCCGTCGTCTAACCCGGAAAATTTCGACTATCTCTCTACGATTCCTTACTAAATGGGTCCTCCGACTCCAGGGGTCTAGCTCTGCCGCTTTGTGTTCGACCCAGCTGAGAATAGGTGTTCTCTGTGTTGTGTTCGCCTTTCTTTTTTCCCCTCTATTCATCTTCGCACTGGCCTGCGCTCTATTCACGACCCTCATGTCCACATTTTTCCTTGTCGTTCCTTATACCCCATGCATTGGTATGGCGTTGTTGTGGCATCGAAGACTTTACGAGTTTCCTTCTGTCGTTCCTTGGTTATCATCCGAAGTGAAGGCGTTTGGTCGTCCGGTCCTTGAACTTGTCCTACTACTCGGAACTGCACGGCCTGGACTGCGCTGAGTTCACGAGTTATGATTCATGTTCACTCCTTTCATGAATTGTTTCATGCATGCATGCCCCCGAGCCATTTATTGTTTAATCGTCACTTGCATTCCTTTATACCCGGCGTTGTGCTTTTTGGATGTCCATTCCTTTTGCATGTTTTCGGGAGCATGAGCGATTCACTCCTTTTCATGACCTTGCATATTGTTGAAGCATAGCGTGGACGAGGCATCGTTGTCATTCCTTTTTCGCTGCATATTGCATTGATGGCCAGGAAAACAGGTTATTTTGGTTGGGTTGTTTGGGGGATTGGAACTGTGGAGACTTCGAGGAAAAGGGAATTTGTACTTTTTGGCTTTGGTTTAATTGGCACAGTTTTAGGAAAGAGGGTTTTTTTTTGTTCTGAAGTGGACGGATTCGTCCATCATATTGCATATCCGCGGAGTTATATGGCGTTCTTGGGCTTGATCTGCTTTTTGTGTGTTGAGATACAACTGTTGATTTATCTGCTGTTTTTTGTCTCTCTAGTTCCTGTTTTAAAATGGTGAAGAGCTCTGAGAGAGTGATGGTCGGAGGACTAATCAGGTAGCTAATGAGAGAATCGAAGAGATATTGTGGCCCTTGTGAATTGTCTGAATTTAAGAACAAGAACAACGATAGACTTCTGTCAAAGGACTTCGGAATGTGACAGCCCACACACCCCGCCTCTCTATCTTATCAATGAATCACGTGATGAGATCACATTCCCAAATCGGCAAGCGGGCGAGGGGCAGACAGAACTGCCATCTCCGTAGTCCGGGCCGTCCATCCAATCCACGGCGATTTGAGTCAGACTCCGCGGTGAGTCGGAGGTGTCCTCCCCCCATCAATTCCATTAATTTATTTCATCACTGCGAATTCCTTACTGCAAACCTCTCGCACTCGGCCCCCGCTTTTCTACTTCTGTCTGTATCATCCCTGATCCCCATTTCTCTTGGGTCCTGTCGAATTCGCTTGTTCAGGGATTTCTTCTCAAGTGGGGCTGTCTGATTTATTCTCTTCTTCTGCCCTACCTATCTACCCATCATGGAAGAAATCAAGAAGACATTCGCCAAATGCAGGCAACAGAAGCGCGCTGCTTTGGTGACCTATGTCACTGCGGGGTATCCGACCATTGAAGAAACGGTTGATGTCCTGCTGGGGTTGGAGAATGGGGGTGCTGGTGCGTCAATTGCTCCTTCTTTGTTCTACAATTTCTTTCCTCGTGCGATTCTTGGTCGTCGCTGACAGGTGACAAATGCCTTGCTTAGATATCATCGAGCTCGGAATTCCTTTCACTGACCCCATTGCCGATGGCCCAACCATCCAGAAGGCTAACACGCGGGCCCTCGAGAACGGTGTCACCATCACGACGGTGCTGGACATGGTCCGCACCGCGAGGAGGAGGGGTCTCAAAGCACCCGTGCTCTTCATGGGCTACTACAACCCGGTGCTACAGTACGGAGAGGAGCGTATGCTCAAGGACACGAAAGAGGCAGGCGCCAATGGCTTCATTATGGTCGATTTGCCGCCAGAGGAGGCGGTGCGGTTCCGAAACCTTTGTGCAGCCTCGGGGTAAGTCGTAATTAGCTTGCATATTTCAGCACTTTGAGTTCGTTGTGCTAAGTCGCCCCATGCAGACTGTCATATGTCCCGCTCATTGCTCCCGCCACCTCTGATGACCGTATGAAGTTGCTTTGCAAGATCGCTGATTCATTCATCTATGTCGTCTCGCGGATGGGTGTCACAGGAGCCACGGGAACTTTGAGCTCAGGTCTTCCTGAGTTGCTGGGTCGCGTCCATTCCTATTCCGGCAATGTCCCTACGGCCTTGGGATTCGGCGTCAGTACGCGGGAACACTTCCTTTCCGTGCAGGACATCTCCGAGGGTGTCGTGATCGGTAGCCAGATCATCACTGTCTTGGGTCAGGCGCCTGCTGGCCAGGGAGCTCAGAAGGTTGAGGAATACATCTCTAGCGTCACAGGACGGAAACTGGAAAGGGACGCCCAGGGCAATTTGGTCAATGAGAAGAAAGTGCTTGAAGTGGTGGAAAAGGTGTACAAGGACTCGGATGAGTCCCAACCGGACGCAGTCATTACTGATGGTGAAGCTGGCGCTAGCAAAGGCGAACCTAGCTTGATTGATCAAATCGAGGCTCTCAATGGCAAAGGCGATCCTGCTGCTCAGCCTTCCCGTTTTGGCGAGTTTGGTGGACAGTATGTTCCTGAGTCGCTCATGGACTGTTTAGCCCAACTCGAGAAAGGCTTTGAGGAAGCCAAGAACGATCCTAAGTTCTGGGAAGAGTACCGTTCATATTATCCATACATGGGCAGACCAAGCAGCCTTCACCTGGCCAATCGCTTGACCGAGCATGTTGGCGGTGCGAACATCTGGCTGAAGCGCGAGGACCTCAATCATACCGGCAGTCACAAGATCAACAACGCGTTGGGCCAAGTTCTACTTGCGCGGAGATTGGGGAAGACTAGGATCATAGCCGAGACTGGTGCAGGGCAGCATGGTGTTGCCACTGCAACCGTCTGCGCCAAGTTTGGAATGAAATGTGTTGTTTATATGGGTGCGGAAGATGTGCGCCGGCAGGCCTTGAACGTCTTCCGGATGAGACTTTTGGGTGCTTCCGTCGTCGCTGTCGACGCCGGCAGTAGAACGCTCCGCGATGCGGTCAACGAGGCCCTCCGTGCCTGGGTCGTCGATCTCGACACCACTCACTATGTGATCGGTTCTGCAATCGGTCCTCATCCTTTCCCGACGATTGTACGGACCTTCCAGTCGGTGATCGGTAACGAGACCAAGGAGCAGATGAAGGAGCTCATTGGCAAACTCCCTGACGCGGTTGTTGCGTGCGTTGGAGGCGGAAGCAACGCCGTGGGCATGTTCTATCCGTTCGCGAATGAACCCAGCGTCAAGCTGCTCGGTGTTGAGGCCGGTGGAGACGGTCTTGACACTGACCGGCACTCTGCTACGTTGACGGGGGGTACAAAGGGTGTCTTGCATGGCGTCCGCACCTATGTTCTGCAGGACAAGAACGGTCAGATTTCCGAGACGCATTCCGTCTCCGCAGGTCTCGATTACCCCGGTGTTGGACCTGAACTCAGCAACTGGAAAGACACTGGGCGTGCAAGCTTCATCGCTGCCACCGATGCTCAAGCATTCGAAGGATTCCGCCTCCTCTCCCAATTGGAAGGCATTATTCCTGCCCTGGAATCATCCCACGCCGTGTATGGAGCTGTGCAATTAGCCAAGACGATGAAGAAGGGCGAGAATATTGTGCTGAACCTGAGTGGCAGAGGCGACAAAGACGTGCAACATGTCGCCGAAGAGCTCCCTCGATTGGGTCCGCAGATCGGCTGGGACTTGAGATTTTAAACCATGGGCGCCTTTAACGGCTGCTACTGCTAAGAACAGCTGCCTGATTCCTATATTTGCTTCTGACTATTATTTGCGATATGCGACGGAAAGATAAAACTGCCTTTTCCCCAAAACGGATGACTTTGGTGTAAATTCCGGCATGGTCAGAGAAAATTATTATAGAAACGTTTCAGCTTCATCGTGATTCAGTGTACATACAGGCCGATTGGATTCAGTACTTATTCTTTAGAGTATATTTCTCCAACTTAAAATTAATAGAGATCGAAAGACATGTCGAATAGAACGGGGTCGATGTCGTATGCGATCACGTGAGCTGACGCGGGCCAAGCTGCTGGAGCTCCGGCGCAGCACATGCCTCCGCCCAGCCTATCCCATCCCAACCTGAGCTGTCGCAGCTTGCCCGCCCGAGCAGTTGGCATCCTCCACTCAACCTGCCCCCCCCCCCCTCACTCAACCGTCTTTCCACTCCCTCCCCTCCTCGATCTTGTTGTACCCGTGGAGGGACGGTCACCATGGCTACCAACTTCGTCGACCCCCGCATGACCTCCATTAAGCCTCGTATCCGGTACAATACCATTGGAGGTGTCAATGGGCCGCTGGTCATCCTTGACAACGTACGCTCGTTCGATCTTCTGGATTGGGCTTATTGTCGCTAATCGCAGTGAACCTTGATTAGGTCAAATTTCCCAGATACAATGAGATTGTGTCCCTGACCCTTCCCGATGGCTCAGAGCGCTCTGGTCAGGTCCTGGAAGCAAGAGGTGTGTGATATACGCAAGTAGTGTTTCTTGCAGAGTTCCTAGACTTGGGCGAAGGAATTCAGCTGACCTGACATGTTGTCAATAGGCAACAGGGCCGTTGTTCAGGTGCGAAACGCCATGGTTACGTCGATCCTCTGACACATGTTGACAAGGGCGGTTGCTAGGTTTTTGAAGGCACATCCGGCATCGATGTCAAGAAGGTATAGATCTTCACGCGACGCTTCAAAGGAAATTCAGGGACTGATTGTCTCCACAGACCAAGGTCGAGTTCACCGGTCACAGCCTGAAGCTGGGTGTGTCCGAAGACATGCTGGGTCGTATCTTCGATGGCTCGGGTCGCGCAATTGATAAGGGTCCGAAAGTGCTGGCGGAGGACTACCTGGACATCAACGGCAGTCCTATCAACCCTTACTCAAGAGTATGTGACTAGGTGGTTTTTAGGTCGCCTCGGTCCTAACAATGTTCTAAAAAAGGTCTACCCCGAAGAAATGATTTCCACGGGTATTTCTGCTATCGACACCATGAACTCGATTGCGCGAGGGCAAAAGATTCCTATTTTCTCTGCTGCTGGTCTTCCACACAATGAAATTGCCGCCCAGATTTGTCGTCAGGCTGGTCTCGTTAAGCCAACCAAGGACGTGCACGACGGACACGAGGACAACTTTTCCATCGTCTTCGCCGCCATGGGTGTCAACATGGAGACCAGTCGTTTCTTCACCCGCGATTTCGAAGAGAACGGCAGTATGGAGCGTGTCACTCTCTTCCTTAACTTGGCTAATGATCCCACGTAAGTCAAATCAGTTTAGTTCTTCGAAGATGAGAGAGGGGGGCTGACTTGTTCTCAAGTATTGAACGTATTATCACGCCTCGTCTTGCTTTGACGACGGCAGAGTACTATGCCTACCAGCTGGAGAAGCACGTACTCGTGATTTTGACCGACCTTTCGGCTTACTGTGATGCCCTTCGTGAAGTGTCCGCTGCACGAGAAGAAGTGCCTGGACGACGTGGTTACCCAGGTTACATGTACACTGACTTGTCGACTATCTACGAGCGTGCTGGACGGGTTGAGGGCCGTAACGGCTCTATCACGCAGATTCCTATCTTGACCATGCCTAACGATGGTTCGTAAATCTCTGACATGGCTATACGTCTTTGGCGCAATATTAACGGCTCTTTCGCAGATATCACCCACCCCATCCCCGACCTGACAGGTTATATCACCGAGGGGCAGATCTTCGTTGACCGTCAGCTGCATAACAAGGGTGTCTACCCGCCCATCAACGTGCTGCCGTCGCTGTCGCGACTGATGAAATCCGCTATTGGCGAAGGCCGTACTAGAAAAGACCACGGTGATGTCTCCAACCAGCTTTATGCCAAATACGCTATTGGACGAGATGCCGGTGAGTTTTTTTTTTTCTAACGGCCTATTCGAAGAAGGGTGAGATGATACTGACAATTCCCGATACAGCTGCCATGAAAGCTGTCGTCGGTGAGGAGGCCCTCTCCGCCGAAGACAAGCTCTCGCTCGAATTCCTTGAGAAATTCGAACGCACCTTCATCTCCCAGGGTGCTTACGAGTCGCGCACCATCTACGAGTCGCTGGACATTGCCTGGAACCTGCTGCGCATCTACCCCAAGGAGCTCCTCAACCGCATCCCCAAGAAGATTCTCGACGAATTCTACGCGCGGTCGGGCAAGACCCGCAAGTCGGGCAAGGATACGAGGGACAACTCGGGTGAACAAGAACAGCAGCAGCAGACGTCTGCACCGCAGACAGCGAACCTAATTGACACGTGATCTCTCATCTTTCACCTTTTTCTGTTCACCTTTTTTCTGTCTCTCTAGTTGATGTGAAGTACTACCTACTCCTTTTTTCCTTTTTACTTTTTTTTTTGGTTTACTTTGGTTTGATTTCTTCTCCTGGAAGCCATCTACATATACATCGGTTCAATCGAATCCAATCCAATCGAGTCCAATCCAATTCAATTCAATCGAATCGAATCGAATGAATCGAATGAATCCATTCCCATGGGGCTAGATTCTAGAGCGAGAAGAAAAGTGGAAGTGGAAGTGGAAGTTGTCCTGTCCTGTCCTGTACTGTAATGTACTGTATGTACACGAACAAAGCATAGAGGCAGCTTTTTGAATCTGAAGGGGGATATTTCTTATGCATTATTCGCACTTTATTTCTTTCTTTCTTTTTTCTTTTTCCTTTTTTTTTTTGAACGGCTATGTTTGCAGTGTAGCAGAGTATATAACTATTATTGCATTTACATACAAAGATAAACAAAACAAAAAAAAGAAAACAGATGATAAATGATAAATCTTATAATTGTACTGTACAGACTATATATAGAGTATTTGCCGCGTTTCTTCCTTATTTTGTTACTTTTTCAGGGGACGAGCTAATGAACGATGAATGCTACGCCCAGTAGTGATATAATGAGGTGATGAATCATCAGAGTTGTTGACATGGTTCTTCGGCAAGGCGAGGCTGCGGATGAGGACCGTTGGCCGACCATTGATGGCGTGCTCGTTGCCGTGAAGACGCCTGTTGCTGAGATCGAACTCGTCGCAGTAGTACCTGTGGTGCCTGTTGCTGCTGCGGTAGAACCCCCGCCCCTGGCGGTACCGCTCATGGCGACTGAAGCAGTTCCTGGCACTCCAACAGCACCAATACCATCGTCGCCGTCTGAATCCGACGACAACGGCTTCCAGTCTGATGCCTTGTCGTATAGGACGCCGTTGATGATGACGCCTTCGCCGGATTCTAGCCGTTTTCGCTGCGTCTCATCACACGTCTCTGCCACGCTCCGCAGATAACACGTGGGACTGGCCCTGGGAGGCGCAGAGTTGGTGGCCGTGGCATTTGCGTCTCCGGAGGTGCTAAAAGTGGACAGGTCCGCTGGCTCACCGGAGGACAGGTCAGAGCCAAGAATGATTCGGGTAAAAAGGGTGAAGAGTGTCTCGGGCTGATAGGCGGGGATCAGATGGCCCGCGTCGTAGATGCGGGAGAAAGAGAGATTGGCGGCCTGGCGGACCACTCCGCCGATGTAGCTTGTATTGGTGATGATGGGTGCATAACCCGCACTGTTGAAGCTGGAGAGATATGATGGCACCGCGGAGGCGATTGAAAACGAGACCGCTTCACCCCCTTCCAGTTGCAGATAAAGTCTCTGTCGCCGTATACGAGGGCGATGCGAACTCCCTTCTCGAGGAGGGACGCAAATTCCGATATCTGGTTCCCTCGCTCATAATCCCCTGTCTGCTGGAACGCCTCAACAACGGCGCCGTTGGTCATGGTAAAATTCACCGGGACACCGATGGCTGACTGGACGGCTGCGTCGTTGAGATATTCGAGGTATGTGTTCGGTGGGAAAGGGTCAAGTACAGACTGAGAGATGTCATAAGGGCTGAGTCCCGATTTGTAGTATGGCCCGACGACATAGTCGTTACAGTACCGCTGCGCCTCGGAACAAAGGGTATTGGCATGGCTGTTATCGCCATATCCGTCCGGGTCAAGCGCACCGACTGCATTCCGGCAATCTTGGATTTGTTGCTGGCAGCCGCCCTGAGAGTAGAAGGCTGAGGCAGCATTTTGCTGGTCCTGGAGGGAAATAGCCTGAATTCCGTAGGTATTGTCGTAGGCGAACCTTGGATAGAACGGACCCTGAATGAGGTCATCAACGCAGCCCTGCAAGATACCCAGAGAGCTGAGTTGAATCTCCAAAGTGGTGTTCTGTGGTAATTCCCCGTTTCTTAATCGTTCATTCTGGGCCTCCCAGAAAGCAGCAAATGCAGGTCCGTATTTCCCTCCGTAACTCTCCGTGAAGAGATTGATGGCAACCGGGCCATTACTACTATTATTATTCTGGTCCGTACTCGAATATTGCGCTGGATTGTACTGCGGAAACGCACTTAGAAAGCCCTGAACAATATGCCAGGCGGCTCCGGCGGCAATCGCAGTGGTATTGGCTGTTGACCACGTCGAATTCGAGCTGAAGGTCCCATTGAGAAAAGTATATGATGGCTGCCCGGATGGGACATCTGCTGCAGGAGGAAATGAATACTCAGACGACAGGAGGTTCAAAGACCCATTCTGCAGGACATCGTAGGAGAACCCGACCTGGTTCGGCTGATCGATAAACAGGATGTTGGAGCTGCGATCCCAGCCCCATTCTCGTGCTCGCGTGCCGAGTTCGTTCTCGCCAATTTCGACCACTTCGCATGGGCCGACTTCTTGGAACATCCCCACCATGCTGCTGCTTCCAGGGCCGCCATTGATGAAGATTGTAAGAGGGGCCGTGCCGGGGTCTGTTCGGGCCTCAACGAACCAGAAAAACGTGTTTATCGAATAGTTCTGCTGCACCGGTGCGAGAGTATACGGTGGAAGGGTGACATAGCCCGTATACTGTTTCTGAGAAGCATAGACTGTTTTACAGGTGCCGGGAGGAGGCGACTTGTATCTGATGGTGATGTTCCCATCCACCGGGGAGATGATCGTCTTGATGTCCGGATCAAGATCGGGTAACGGTGGGAACTGGGCCAGCACGCAGCTCAATAACAAAAACGAGCATGCTAAAAGCAAGTTCGGAAGACATAATAAATCACTCTGCCCCATCATCTTCTTCTTCTCCTTCTTCGATCAGAAATCAATGGCACCATTTGGAATCGCTAGCTCTTCCGACCGCTAGGCGATAGTGCGGGTGCGTAGGCTCTCTCAGATACCGGATCATGTACAGTACACAGGCAATATTATCTGTGTCATTCAACGATTACCAAGGACATGGAGACTTGAAGGGCTGTGTGCAGCCGATAAAGAGGCATAAAGAGTGATAACGAGTGGGTTAGGTTGGGGCCGAAGTGCCAAACAGCGCGCCTTCCTCCGGACAGCCGCCGCGTCGCTCTTTCCCCGGATTTCACAACGCGCTTTCCCGGGTAGGTTAGGGTGCGTCCATGGATCTCATTGGCTGACGGCTTAGCGCGCAGGTGATGTCCCGATACGGTTAGCGTAGTATCCGCTGCATTATTTGATAGGTCAATCTCAGGACTAAGCAATACTCCGAGATCGACTGATCTTCCTCTCTACTTCTTGTATGTCTATCCTTATTCTCCTGTCATTTTGTGCCATTAATCAGATCTTGGCTGACGCAGCTCGTGATTGCTCATCTTGGACAACCCATTCGTCAAACTGCTGTGCAGCATCAGCAATCGTATCAAACCCCATGAGCTCCTTGAGGTATCCCAGATTCCCCCACCCCCACTTGAACTTGCTCTGAGGGTCATTCCAGTCGACCTTGGCGAATGCCTCGTTGCGAGCATCGCACTCGGGGCCATCCGCCATATGGTACATCTCTTGGTTTTGGATTGCGCCTTGGACATTGACTGTTGTCCTCTTCTTGCGCAGCGACTCGTACAGTTTCAAAACTCCGGGGATTTTGGACGAGCGATCGGCGGGCTTTACGAAGGGACTCTTGGATAATCTGCCAAGCAGAACACCCAATGCAGCGCCATCTTCAACTGCCATCGCAGCTCCCTGAGCTTGGTAAGGAAGGCTCGGATGGCAGGCATCTCCCAAAAGGGCGACAGGCCCCTGAAGTTGCTGTAAGCGGCGGAGCAGAGATGAATTTCGGCCGTCTTACCTTGCACCAAGTGTCCAGTTCATCCATATGGCATATTTTCCATTTCAGGACGTTGTCGACTTGCGCTATCAGGGCGGTCAGTCTGGAGGAAACGATGGCATTAGCTGGCTCCTGCAGTTGGTCTGGCTGGGCGCGGCGTGCCTTGGATCCCATCCTTTAAACAACCCTCTCATCTCCTCAGTGTTTCCTGCAGCAGTTGCTACACCAGGCGGTAAATCATCAGGACATCTGGACGAACTTGTCAGGCCCAGTCTACAAGAGCGGTTTGGATGGAGACAAACAGGAGGACAAGATTGAAAACTGTCTTGTTCCGAACCGGATACAGAACAGCATGCTGGCGGGGACCAAGCCAGGCGCGAAGGGCCGAGTCCTGCAGGGATGGATCGAGGTCTTCCACGCGGCTTCTCGGAATGGTTGCGCGGTATGCCAGATCACCGGTCTCAACAGGAGGGCTCTCATAACCCAGGACCTTGCTGCGAACGACAGATCTTAGGCCTAAGGCATTTGTCAGGTCTCATGGAATGTATCACAGCCAAGAGGACCGAGAACATACCGTCTGCTCCGATGATAACGTCGGCATGGATCCTTTCCTGAGAGGCAAGAATCACAGAAGGCTGGTCGAAGTCCACATCTCTAACCTCTGAGTCCAATTTGATGACGGCCCCCAGTCTCCTGGCCTCATCCAGAAGCACTTTATGGTAATCCGCGCGATGGATCACACTGAGTCACTGTCAGCTGTGTACAGTCCACGTTACTCCGACCTCTCAGACACATACTACCAACTATGACCGAAGTGTTTTCTCAGCCATTCGTCCCCCGGCCGGGTCGCGATCGGTCGTCCATCGTTGTATCGGAGAAGGCTGTGCTCTTCAATCTTGATTGCGCCGGCATCGACGATCTTTGGAATCAGGCCGTAATAGTCCAAGACTCGAACGGCATTTGGGGGTACTTGAATACCGGCGCCAACCTAGAACGTAACCCTTTAATCTCATGAAAAGGCCGATTTTAGAGAGATTTCTACTCAAAGGTCCTGCACGTACTTCTCCCAGCTCCTGGGCTTTCTCGACAATCTGCACCTGCAAGTCCTCCTTCAAACAGGCGATGGCGCACGATAGCCCTCCTTGAACGATGCATCAGTAGGAGTGTATAACTGACGGCAACCTCCGCAAAGCTCTTTACCCAATCCACAACCAACAATTAGCACATTCAGAGGCCGATTACTGTCGGCATTCTAGCCTGGATTATCAGCAGAAGTCGATACTGATCTGTGTAACGGCCATTCGTACCTCGAGGCTTCCCATGGTCGCCATGAATTGGCAAGAATAAGAACCCAGGGAGCGGTTAACAGGGATGGTCGCGTACTACTCGTTGCAAAGAGATTAATATTACATGTATCGTACTCGAAGGATCCGTCCTGAACGGATATTTCGCCATGGCTAAAAAGCTTAAAAGAGCCAGGTGCTCAAGTAGAAGGATCGGAGTTAAATGGCGTGTCTGGGCCCACCATGGCCGGGTTGCATCTAGACGATGCATGGATGATGGATCGAGTATAGACTTAACATGGGGGATCAGCGGACCGGCCAATTTCCATTCCATATCGACCCACCTAACAGCAAACGCTCACAAGACAACATGCATTGGATCATCTCTCACTTGCTGGTTTTGAAGCCACGGTACGAGTCTAATAATGGAACACTGTCTGACTCAGTTTGGCTTAGTCTGCAAGCACGCGCCGTGCTCGGTACTCGGCACTGTATGCCCTCGTCCAGCTGCGCCAAACACTCAATGCATGTAAGATAACATTACACCGGTAATTCGCCAAGCATGACCGATTGCAAAAGACGGGCAGGAACAGTTTGTTCCCTTTCTCATCTTTCCCCTCTATTTTATTTGGCCCCTTCTTTGGTGCTATTATGTACTCTGTACGTCCTAGACAAATGCCTACTCTCTGCATTTACATGCTCACCTAGACTTCTCCAGACGCAACAGACTTGCGGCTAGTCAAGCCGTGATATTCAGCTGGTCAACCGGTCGGGATTCCCCATGGCTGGCATCAAGCAGGCCATGAAGACGGCCAACGAAGCACACAGCGAGGCCTCTTCGCCGGCCCCTGTGAAACGGTCCGCCTCCGGCATTGTACTCGTTCCCCAACCCACGGACGACCCCAATGATCCGCTGAATTGGAGCATGGCAAAGAAAATACTCATTCTGGCTATCGTGTCTCTGGCGGCATTTATTGGGATTTCTCAGGCGCTCGCCAACCAGTTTGCTCTTTTTGCGCAGGCGGCCGTGTACCACAAGACGCCCGTCGAGATATCCTACTCGGTAAGCTCCTAGAGCTGCACTGTATGTACTGTTGCATCTGCTGACACACGTTCTTCCAGGTGTCTGCGGCTATCGCGGGACTTGCGACCGGCCCTTTTATCTGGACTGCCCTCTCGCAACGAATCGGTCGAAGCTCATGTATTTTCTGGGGGATGCTAGGGACCCTGGCCTGCGGTATCTGGTCGGCTTGCATGACGGGGAGTGATGACTACGTCATCTTTGTTATCTCCAGATGGCTCGGGGGCACGTTTGGATCTGTAGCCTCTACGATCGGCGCTGGGATAGTGCTTGACATGTTCTTTCTGCACCAACGAGGCAAGGCGTTTGCATGCTATACACTGTGCACGCTCTTCGGTACGCAAGTCGGGCCTGCTGTGGGCGGATTCATTGTGAAATCGGCTCCATGGCCCGTCGTGTTCTGGTGGACGGTAGGAGTGGAAGGCCTTGTAGTCATCCTCGTCTTTCTCTTCCTCGAGGAGACGTCCTTTTCGCGGGATGGGAAAGAACAGCATGATCTGCCCCGAAGTTGGCTCATGAACCGGGTGGCCACCTTTTTCCCTGGTACCAGGGTCGCGCCACGACAGGGCGGAAACTCGCCCTTCGCGGCGTTTCTCATCGCGATCTGCCCGGTGACTCTTCTGGCGGGGACCTTCCTCTTGATCGCGTTCGGCTGGGCCGTGGGAGTGAACACCCTGCTGTCAGTCTTCCTGCAGACGCCAGAGCATGAGGGCGGGTACGGGTTCAGTCCGATGCAAGTGTCCTGCTTTACCTTGGCACAGTGGGTCAGCGTCTTTGTGGCAGAGGGCTACAGCATGGTCTTGAACGACCGCATTCCACTGTGGTACTGTCGTCGCTACCGCCACGGGGTATGGAAGCCGGAACACCGGTTGTATCCGTTACTGCTCCCTCAGGTGATGCTCTTGCCGATTGCACTCGGACTGTTCGGAGCGGGCCTTCAATACCATCTGCATTATATGGTTCTCGCGCTGGCGCTTTTCCTCATCAGCTTCTGCGAGATCGCCCTGGTGCCGGTGACGATCAACTACGTGGCCGAGTGCTTTACGGGGCACGCGGCGGAGGTTACGACAGTGCTGAACTTCTTCCGTCTGATCCTGGGGATTGCGATCCCATTCTTCATTGACCCGTGGGAGGCGCGCGTTGGGCCCGGGTGGGTGTTTGGCATGATGGCGTTTTTCTCGCTGTTCGCTTTCTCGTTGATGGGGCTGCTGGCCTGGAGGGGAGAGGCTATCCGGCAGTATTCGATTCCGAGTTTGAGGAAATCGGAAGATGGGACGAAGCTGGTTCAGGGCGACACCGAGTTATCGAGAGTGGATCAGCCCTGAAGAACAGCAAGATTTGTGTATTGTATTTCTATGGGCGCACAGAAGCATCTTTCTTATATATACGCTTACATTGTATTCCGATTATTTACCAGCCATAACACATGGGGGCGAGGATGAAATCTTAATTTTCGTATAGTATACCTAGATGATACAAATGCAGTACCGTACGTGGTCAGCTTCAAATCCTTACTGTCGATCACTGACAACCACCGTATTACTATTAGGTTCGGCATACGCCGAAGTAGTATACTCTGCAGCGGAAGGACTACTCTGGGGAAACCAGCAAAGGAACGACCGAACCAGTGGGGCTAGCACGAGCAAATAATAAGAATAAGTAATGTTCTTATTTTTTGTCATCATTCCTCCTGACCGGTGAACCTTGCCTTGAAGATCTACAGAGTGCATCGCCGGTGCACCATGAAACGGGCTAGTCTAGTGCAGTTCCTTCGCTTCGGTTGAGCTTCGATGCATGCACGGTTGCTCTCGTATTGGATCGACAGCTTGTCAATCGCTAGCATTTAAAGTTACAGCAGAGTGAACAAAGTGGAGAGGGACCAAAAAAAATGTCTGCTCTCATGACATAGGTAATACGAGGTAAAATCTATGATGCAAGCCCAGCCCAGCCATACCTAGACCTACCACTACCACTTCGAGGAATATGTTGCTTCGCGAGACTCGCAGCATGAGTAATGTTTTTTTATTGAGTTTGTGTCATTCATTAAGGTTTAGTTGGCCAGAGTAAAATTCAGGTAGCGAGGCTGAGACTTTTCAAATAGAAATTCACTACCTAGGCGAAAACGAAATAGTCTAGAACCTTTTCCTAGGTACTCCGTAGGTAGGAGTCTTGTTTCCAGGGAAGCGGCCCGAAAATCCCCAGAAGTTTGGGTCCACAGGAACTCCCACGGATCGACGGATCGATGGATTGACGGATCGTGCTGGTTAAGATGGATTGGGAAAAGTTGGGGTAGGTATGGAGCTAGGAGGATCGCTGTTGCATTAGTCGGGATTTTCGCTCATCCATGATCCAGCAGTCCAGCCTCAGTTCGTGTTGGTGGTATTCTTGAGCCTGAGGCCTGCCTGGCCTTGATGTAATACTGTTATAAATGTAATAATTAGCCTTTTACCCTGCTTCCATTTGTTACATAGCCCTCTTAATGCGTACTGTATGTCTAGTATTATTATTATTATTATTATAATCAGGTTTAACGTCCATACCGAGCCTTTCGGCTATGACAGACCCCGATTCTTGGGCAGAAGCCCCTATTAGTCCCTAATCCCATCTTTGGCCATTCTGAACCTTTTCCTCGCCCCAGGCCGCCTAGTTGCGTAGGGCTTTTGGGCCTTTATAAGCCCTCCTTGTTGCCAGTGTCAGTATGGGTGTCGCCTGCCTACTGCAGGCCACCCTCCCCTATTATCCTTCTCCCTCACGTTCTGCCTCCTCTAGGGCTGCCAGCCCCCATTCATCATCCTTCCGTGTCCTCTCGGCTGCTCGAGCTGCTTCCCCTAAGGGGCATCCAACCGTTGTGTCTGCTAGGAACTGCAGGATGGCCTTGGTGGCCTTATGATCTCCTAGTAGCCTTCCCTCTGGGTGATCCTCAGCCATCGTTGGCAAAGCCACC